TCTCCAACTGTAAAATGAGGGGTCTACGCCAATTCCAAACTTTTTTGATGGCTCACCCTTAACATTTTAAACTTTTGAGCACACATCTTCAGTGTATATATCTTTATTTATTTATTTATTTATTTTTGGTGAGGAAGATTGGCCCTGAGCTAACATCTGTTGCCAGTCTTCCTCTTTTTGCTTGAGGAAGATTGTTGCTGAGGTAACGTCTGTGCCAATCTTCCTCTATTTTATGTGGGATGCTGCCACAGTATGGCTTGACTAGCGATGCTAGGTCCGTGCCCAGGATCCAACCTGCAAACCCCTTGACCGCCAAAGCGGAGCACATGAACTTAACCACTACGCCACTGGGCCAGCCGTATCTTCTTTTTATTTTATTTACGAAGAGTAAAATAGACTTGTGTATGTGTGTGTGTGTACACTTCTATGAGTTTTAATACATGTATAGATTTGTGCAACCACCACCGCAATCAAAATATAGAACACTTCCATCCTCCCCCAAAATTCTTTTATTTTACCGGTAGTAGTGAAACTCTGCACCCCATGCCTAACTTCTGGCAACTACTGATCAGGTCTTCATCCCTTTAGTGCAGCCTTTCCCAGAACATCATATAAATGGAGCCATACCGTATGTCACCTCTTGACACTGGTTTCTTTCACTCAAACACCTTTGAGCTTCATCCATGTTGTTGATTGTATCAATAACTCGTTCATTTTTATTGCTGAGTAGTGATCCATGGACTAGACGTACTATGTTTTACTTAACTATTCACTCACTGAAGGGCATTTAGGGTGTTCCCAGTTTTTTAATGATTATGAATAAAGCTGCTATAAACATTTGTGTATAGATTTTTGTGTGTGAGCATGAGTGTTTATTTCTTAAGAGTAGATATCTAGGAGTGGGATTGCTGGATTATATAGTAAATATATAGTTTGTAAGAAACCACCGGACTGTTTTCAGAGTGTCCGTACCATTGTGCGTTCCCACCAGCTATGTCTGAGTTCCACTTCTCCTGCATCCTTACCAACGCTTGGTGTTGGCAGTTGCGTTTTTGTTGTTGTTCTACTCTTAGTCATTCTAATAGGTGTATAATTGTATTGCATTGTGTTTTTAATTTGCATTTTCATAATGACTAATGATGCTGAGCGTTTTTTCATGTGCTTATCAGCCATCCCTATTTCTTCTTTGGCAAGCTGTTTATTCAAATCTTTTGCCTACTTTTAAAATTGGGCTGCTGTTCTCTACTGTTGAGTTTTGAAGGTTATTTCCAAATTCTGTATATAAGTCTTTTATTGGATATGTGATTTGTTAATATTTGCTCCCAGTTTATAGGTTGCCTTTTAATTCTCTTAACAATGTCTTTTGCAGAAAAAAGTTTTAATTTTGATGAAGTAAATTTATAATTTTTTTTCTCTCATGGATTTTTTTTATGTCATAGCTAAGAACTCTGCCTAACTCAGGGTCATAATCTTTTTCTTCTATGATTTTTAAATAAAAAAATTTATGCTTTTTGGGGCCAGCCCCGTGGCTGAGTGGTTAAGTTCTTGTGCTCCGCTGTGGCGGCCCAGGGTATCGCTGGTTTGGATCCTGAGCACGGACATGGCACCGCTTGTCAGGCCATATTGAGGCGGCGTCCCACATGCCACAACTAGAAGGACCCACAACTAAAAAAATACACAACTATGTACCAGGGAGGATTTGGGGACATAAAGCAGGAAAAAAAAAATTGTGCTTTTTGATTTTACATTTAGCTCTATGATCCATTTCAGGTTAATTTGTCTATAAATTATACTTTGATATATAAGTTGAGGTTCATTTTTCTGCATATAGTTGTCTAGTTGTTTCATTTGTTGAAAGGACCATCCTTTATCCATTGAATTGCTTCATACCTTTGTCAAAAATCAATTGATTGTGAATTGTATACTTTAAATGATTGAAACAGTAAATTTTATGTGATATGCATTTTATCTTAAAATAATCTACGTAAAAAAATCAATTGATCATATTTGTGAGGATCTATTTCTGGACCCTCTTATTTTGTTCCACTGATCTATGTGTCTAAACTTTCACCAATAGCACATTGTTTTGCTTACTTGGCTTTAGATTAAGTTTTAAAATTGAGTAGTATGAGTCCTCTAACTCTGTTTTTCTTTTTCAAAATTATTTTGGTTTTTCTGGGTCTTTTGCCTTTCCATATGTTTTAGACTCAGCTTGCCTATAGCCACAAAAAATCCTGCTGGGATTTTGTTATTGCATTAAATCTGTAAAATCAATCGGGCCCTGTAGGGTTGCCAGACAATATATAGAAAATCCAGTTAAATTTGAATTTAAGATAAAAATAATTAATATTTAGCATAATAACATCCTGAATATTGTGTGGTACATAATTATACTAAAAATTATTCATTGTTTATCTGAAATTCAAATTTAACTTGGCATCCTATAATTTTTTCTAAATCTGGCAGCTTTAGTTTGGGGAGAACTTACACTTAACTATTTGAGTGTTCTAATTTGTGAATACAGTATTTCTCTTTATTTATTTAGGGCCTCTTTTGATTTCTTTCATCAGTGTTTTATAGTTTTCTGCATGTTTTCTTAGATTTATGCCTAAATATCATTTATTTTGGAGCTATTATAATTGATATTTTTAAAAATTCGGTTTTCAATTGTTCGTTGCTAGTATATAGAAATACTATTGATCTTTGTATATTGACCTTATATTCTACAACTGCATTAAACTCAATTATTCATTCCAGGAACTTTTTTGTAAATTTCTTGGACCTTTCTATGTAAGCAATTATGTCATTTGCAAATAGCGACACTTTTATTTCTTCTTTTCCAATACATATGCCTTTTATTTCTTTTTTCTTGCACTGGCCAAGACTTCCAGTACAATGTTGAACAGGGGTCATCAAAGTGGACATTCTTGCCTTTTTCCTGATCTTAGTTTGCTGAGACTTTTTTTGTCATGAATGGATGCTGGAATTTGTCAAGTGCTTTTTCTACATCAATTGATATGATAAGAAAATATGTCCCATAATGAGGAGAAAAATAAATCAATTGAAACTGATCCAGAATTGGCACAGATGTTAGAATTAGAAAAGACATTAAAACGGTTATTATAACTGAATTTCGCATGTTCAAAAGACTAGAGACAGAAAATATTTAAAAGACCCAAATCAAACATCTAGAGATAAAAACTACAATATCTGAAAAGAAACATTGGTTGGGATTAATGGCAAATTAGCTGTTGCACAAGAAAAGATTGAGTGAATTTCAAGACACAGCAATAGAAATGATCCAAAATGAAACAAACAAAGAAAAAAGACCTTTTTAATGAAAAGCTCATCACTGAGCTGTGGAACAACTTTAAGCAGCCTAATATATGTGTAATTGGAGTCCTTGAAAGAGAGGAAAGAGGAAGAGGGACAGAATAAATATTCAAATCCAATGCTTCCTTCTTTTATTTTTGAAATTTTAAATGTAGGCAACTAATTTAAAAAGTAAAAAGTTATTTCGAACCAGACATGCTGGTAGACAGCATTTTGAAGTCTCTGATGTAACGAATGAGTAAGATAAGAGACATTGCATGGCAGTACAATTGCTTAACGAAACAACAGTTTTTCTCCTAGTGCTCTGTTGCCTGGACTTAGACTCTTATCAGTGCTGCTCAGTGGGTAAGATGCCCAAATCCTACTTTGTGCTTTGATGGAACTTGAGGTAGACTTGAAAGGGAAGAGTATTAACAAGACAAGAACAATCCAAGACAGTGTCTCATGGGGTGGAACTTGTATAGCAGCAAACACAAATATAAACCCCATGGGTGTAGAGCTAGGAAGAGGTGGACTCCTGGCTAACCCAACGACAGGAGCTCTTCTGTAAAAACTGCAGTTTTGACATTTCCTCTGGAGGGAGAAGGTTTACGCTTTACCTGCAGGTCTCAGGTTCAAAATCAGGCTGAGTCAGATATGGTTAATTTCCTCGCAATCTCCAGGCTAATTTAAATGCAGATATCTTGATCATTCTTCCTCTAAATTCTTGCTAACCTATTTTCAGTTCATATCTGAATAGTCAATCATTTTTTCTAAGGAGACGTTCTGAGTTCTGGAGAGAGTTTTTTTCCTGGTGATTTGAAACCTCAGTCTTTTTAAAATACTGAGTGTACATGCTTGGTTATTTGCCTGTTGACAAAGTAGGAGTCTTTTGAAAGAGTATTTTTTTAAAAATCCAGTTGCAGTTCTTTCAAATGCCTTCTCTCATGACTTCTCGCATTTCAGAAGTATCAGGATAGCACATCCAGAAGTGCCAAATGCTTTCTTGCATCTTCCAGCCAAATGCCCCCAACTGGCATGTTCCATGTAGTGGAGCATTATACCTGGCAGGGGTCAGCCCTACAGCTGGTCAGAAAGGGAGTAGTTCACATAGAGTGTAGATACTGGTCGTTGCCTTTCAACAAACCATCCGCCAACCCCTAATTCCTTATTGGGATTGTTTTGGTCTGCTGTTGATGGGAGGTTATGTATTTCTCAGAGTCTGGGTCCTCCTCCCTTCCCCAGTCCCAGGAGTGAATTCTGATCAGTCGAAGGCTCTAAGCCAGTCATAAGAAGTGTAAAGCATCCCCCTTGTCTGTGGGTAGTTTAGGAATGAGCGTATGATACAAAACTGTACAGTGAGAGGTGAGAGTGTGTTCTGGGGAGCTTTCTGAGAAGAAAGTGATGAGAAGAAATAAATTTTTGATAGTACCTGAAATACTACTACTAGTGATTATTTTTTCTTTTGCTCATTGCCCTTTTCTTTTAGGTTAATATATTTATAATGCAAATAGCCCTGGAAGGAGTAGTACCTGGACTCATGTTGCTGTGAGTTAGTTGGTCAGCTCTCTAAAAGGGTTTCGGTGGTGTAGCGGGTTGCATGGTTGCTCCCCAAAAGATATGTCCACGTCCTAATCTCTGGAACCTAGTCCTTAGAAGTGTGACTGTTACCTTATTTGGAAAAACAGGTCTTTGAAGATATAATGAAGTTCAAGATCTTGAGAAGAGATCATTCTGGATCACCCGGGTGGGCTAAATCCAAAGACAATACAATGAATATACAGTGAAGCAGATGGAGATGGACACAGACACAGAGGAGAAGGCGATGTAAAGACAGAGGCGAAGACTGGAGTGATGAGGCCACAAGCCAAGGAAGCCAAAGAATGTCGACAGCCCCCAGAAGCTGGAAGAGACTAGGAAAGGTTCTCCCCTGGAGCCTCCACAGAGAATGAGGTCCTGTTGACATCTTGACTTCAGACTTCTGGCTTCCAGAACTGTGAGAGAATACCATTTCTGGTGCTTTAAACCTCCCAGGTTGTGGTAATTTTTTTTGCAGGAGCAGGAAACTGAGACAGGTGGCATAGGCTTGCTGAGTATTTAAAGGAAATAAAGACCCAGAGAGGGAAGCCTGTGGGCCATGACCAGTTCCTTGACTCTATGAAAGTCAACCTTTCTTCAGAGTCCCAGCTTTGATCCTAAGTGGGTCGTTGAGCCTGTGCCTTGCTGCATGCTCAAAGACAAACTCATACCTCTTTCTAGACACACATTTCATCCTGACCCTAGCTATAGATGTTGCTCCTCACCTTGGCCATTTGTCTTTCAGATGCATGCCCTTTGACACAAGGGAGCCAGGTAAAACAGTATGGTAGATTGTTCAGTACACACTTTTCTCATTCCTGGGTTTACAACTCAGAGGGCCCTGTCTCTCTAAGAGCCTTCAAGTTTCCATAAGGACACGTTTGGAAGACTCACTTCCTCAGGTGAATCTGCCCAAGTAACTGACATAGTTGGAGACTTTGGCAGAGAGCCAGGAATAGAAGTTGGGGGCATAGGAACTAATTAATGTTGGTTGTGCAAGTACTGTGAGCCTGCCCCTGTGTTAGGTGTTTTACACGCACAATCTCATTCAATTCTCACAGAATCTCATGCGGTAAGTAGTAGTAGTATTCCCATTTTATATGTAGGGAAACTGAGGCTCAGAGGGGACATAATGTGCCCGTGATCACACAGCTTGTAGGTGATAGAAACAGGATTCAAGGTGGTCTATTTGGCGCCAAAGCCCATATTTTCTACACAAGAAATTGCTGGCTCCCTGTGGAAAGTTAGGAAAGGCTCAAGGTTGAGGGCAAAAGGTGAATGAAGGAAGCACTGGATTCATGCTCTCTGTCTCTCTTTCCCCACAGGCAGCAGCAGAATGCCTTTGGAGTCCCTGGAAAGGAGCAATCAGCCCTCTGATAAAATGGGTCTGGGCTAACTGTTTTTGAAGAAATGCCACTCTGAATATGAAATGACACAGAGCTTTAACATGGCTCACTGGAGACCTGAGCTGCTCAATTGCCCTGGGACCACAGATCACTTGGAAATGAAAAGATAATGAGAGTAGTTGCCCACTTCGGGCTTTGGGACTTGTTTCAACCAAGGTCTGGTGACTAGTACAGGTATGAGCCAAAAGTCTGTTTGAAAAAGGAGGCAGTGCTGTTGACTTTTCCTGTTCCACTTCCCCCGTGCTTCCAATCCACCCTCCCCCAGCCTGCAGAGCACACTACTCTGGCAGAGGTATACTCACCCTGTTTGAACTGGGCCCTTAGCTTTCAGGGCAGCTTAACCAGGAACAAGCCAGAGTCTCTTTTTCCCTCCAATCCTTATAAGAAATTTCCCAATGAGCACCAGGTAAGCTTTTAAGAGAAAAAGGTTAAGCTAACCATATGAAATATAAGTTTTTAACCCCCTAATTTGCTCGTTATTGTCACCAATTTCTCTCCTGCACCCCACAGTTTAGGAAAATCATGCTTCCTTCTCACTGCCTGCTATGTCCCTTAGGAGATACTTGCTCTCTTACAGGAAAGGAAACTGTCCAACTGTCCAATTTTCAAGTTAAGCAACCTCATGCTTATTCCTTCAGTTAATAAGCTTGGTTATCTAGAAAATTGTTCTGGGAATAAACATTAAGACTAGTCTCTCCTTCGTTGGGTTGTTTGCTCTAATTAGCTTTGAAATTTACCAAAACTCTGGTCACGGCCCAACGGGGTCTATTTACCTGCAGTTCAGCTTTCCTTGTGACTTTTCTCTTAGAACATGGACAGCATCCAGATTCTAAGTCCCTGCCTGACCAGTTACCAGCTCTGTGATTCCAAGTGAATCACTTAATGGCTCTGAGCCTCAGTGTCCTCATCCAGATGAAAGAGGCGAGTCATCTCTGCCACCTACTCACAGTGTTGATCTCAGACAAGAGAAGGTATGTGAAAGCACATTGAAAACTCTAGAAGCTGGTGCAGATTTAAATAATATCATGGTGAAAATCCTTGCCCCACCAGGATGTTAGCTGTCACCTCATTGCTCAGCATTTAGCACTGATCAGAGATCCTGAACTCCAACAGCTTGTAGTTTGATGTAGAGACAACAACTCTTTATACCCATTTATACTAATAGCTCAGCTGTGGTCTACTCTGAGTTGTAATCGAGTATCCTAAATCAAGATACTACACCTTGAGAGCAGAGGAGGAATGTCTTTGGATGTCCCTAAGAAGATATCCTTTGTTCCCATGTAGGAACCTACACAGCAACATTTCTGTCAGCGCCATCAAGCATCAGCTGGGACCCTTGTGTTAACTCCGTTTAAGGGTCCCCTTCTCATGTGGGTCAGTTAAGACTGTTAGAAAATGCTTCATAAATGAGAATCCAAACCTATCTCCAGTGTTTTTATGCCTGCTGGAGTCACATAGAGAAGGTCCGCCCATTTCTTCATAGGCTGGAAGATACTTGCTTGCTTTCTTTATTTTCCAGATATTTCATTGCTAGTATATAGAAATGCAACTCGTTTCTGTATGTTGGTTTTGTACCCTGACACTTTACTGAATTCATTGATTAGTTCTAAAAGTTTTTTGGTGGCACCTTTAGGATTTTCTATATATATAATATCACAGTATCTGCAAACGGAGATCATTTTACTTCTTCCTTTCTGACGTGCATGCCTTTTATTTCTTTTTCTTGCCTAACTGCTTTGGCCAGGACCTCTAGTACTATGTTAGATAGGAGTGGTGAGAGTGGGCACCCCTGTCTTGTTCCTGATCTTAGAGGAAAACCTTTCGGCCTTTCAGAGTTGAGTATGATGTTAGTTGTGGGGTTGTCATAAACGACCTTTATTATGTTGAAGTACATCCTTCTATATCCAACTTATTAAGAGTTCTTTATCATGAAAGGAGGTTGTATTTTGTCAAATGCTTTTTCTGCATCTATTGAGATGATTACATGATTTTTATCTTTGATTCTATTAATACGATGTATCACACTTATTGACTTGTGTATGTTGAAACATTCTTGCATCCCAGGGATAAATCCCACCTGATTATCATGTATGATCCTTTTAACATGCTGTTGAATTTGATTTGCTAATATTTTATTGAGAATTTTAGTATCTGTATTCTTTGGGGATATTGGCCTGTAATTTTCTTTTCTTGTAATGTCCTTATCTGGCTTTGGTCTCAGGCTGATGTTGGTCATGTAATATGAATTTAGAAATTTTCCCTCCTCTTCGATTTTTTGGAAGAGTTTGAGAGGGATTGGTGTTAATTCTTTGTTAAATATTTGGTAGAGTTCACGAGGGAAACCATCTGGTCTTGGGCTTTTCTTTGTTGTGAGGTTTTTTATTACTGATTCAATCTCCTTACTCATTATTGGTATGTTCAGATTTTCTATTTCTTCATGATTCAGTCTTGGTGGGCTGTATGTTTCTAGAAATTTATCTATTTCTTCTTGATTGTCCAATTTGTTGGCATATAATTATTCATAGTAATGTCTTCTGATCCTATTTCTTTGGTATCAGCTGTAATGTCTATTCTTTCATTTCTGATTTGTTTGGATCTTCTCTCTTTTTTTCTTAGTCTAGCTAAAGATTTGTCAATTTGGTTTTATCTTTTCAAAAACTAGCTCTTAGTTTTCCTGAGTTTCCTTAAAACAGCTATTTTGAATTCTTTATCTGGTAAATTGCAGCTCTCCATATCATTAGGTTCAGTTACTAGGAGGTTATTGTGATCCTTTGGTGGTGTCATGTTTCCTTGATTTCTTGTGTTCCTTGAAGTTTTACATTGCTGTCTTTGTATTTGCAGTAGCAGTCACTTCCCCTAGATTTTATTAACCTCTTCAATGCATCCAAACTTGTATTTTTTTGCTCCAATGGCGTGCTGGAACATCTCCACTGGAAACCTAGACTTCCACAAAGGCTCTCTCATCTGGGAGTGATTGTCTAAGACAAGCTTTCCAGGGGCTCCCAGACCATAGTCAAGAAGGGCTGGAGCTGTGGGCTACTGTAGGGTCCACAGCTGGGTCCGAGATCTGTATGCCCATCACCCAAGGCACAGGTGGGCAAGACTCCTCCCAGGCCCTTTGGCATGTGGTGCTAGATCCCACAGCTCCCACAAAGGCACTTTTGTCCATGGATGGATGCCAAATTGTTGTTGAAGTGTGGGACATGATGAGGGACATGTTATTCAGTCATGATGCTGATGTCACCCAGCTGGAAGATATTTACACACAGAAGCCAGGTCCTCATCAGATTTCCCTACGCCAGACAAAAACCCCTCAAATGCATCCCAGAGCTTTAAATCCTAGTGCCCTCCTGGCTGTCCTATGGGGATATACCTAGGTTTGTCAGTGTCCCTTAAAGTGTTTGCATTAGTCATTTATTGCTGTGAAATGAACTACCCTAAAACTTAGTTGCTTAAAGCTGTAAGCGTATATTCTCTTACACCATTTCTGAGTGTACAATTCAGTGATTTTTAATATATTCACAAGGTTGTGCAACCATCACCACTACCTAATTCCAGAACATTTTCATCATTCCAAAAAGAAAGAGAGTCAGGAATCTAGGAATGGCTTAGGTGGGTTGTTCTGCCTCTGGACTCTCACAAGGCCCCAGTCAAGAGTCAATCATTTGAAGGCTGCAATCATTTGAAGGCTTGACTGGAACAGAAGGATCTGCTTCTAAGAAGGCTCATTTACATGCCTGGCAAGTTATTGCTGCTTTTTGGCAGGGGCCTCAGTTCCTGGAGGCCTTAGTTCCACACCATGTAGACCTCTCCATAAGACTGCTTGAGTGTCCTCAAAACACATGCGACTTGCTTCTTTCAAAGGTGGTGATCCAAAAGAGAGAGCAAGAGGGAAGCCATCTATGTTTTATGTCCTAATATCAGAATCACACACTATTATTTCTCCCTTGTTCTATTGCATAGAAGCCAGTTACTAAGCACAGCCCACATTCAAAGAGGGAAATTTGGCTTCACCTTTTGAACAGAACAACATCAAAGGGCTTGTGGACATAATTTAAAACCGTCAGTGTGGTTTTGAAAACTGGCCATGATGGTCAAGATGAAGTATGATAGTGCAGTTTGCCATCAGACTATCACCTCCGTTGGTCTGAGCTTTGATCTTTTCTTAGTGCAAGTATGGGGCAGTGGTCAGGTGCATGGGCCCCAGAGGCAGATAAACTGGGTTCAAAGCCTGGCTCTCCCCTACCTAGCTGGGTGCCCTCAGGTAAGATACTCAACCTTAGGTTACTCTTCTGTAGAAGGAAGATAATAATAGCCTCTTACAGAATGCTTAGCTTAATTCTCAATATGTTCTCAATAAATGTTAATGAAACCCAAGATGGCATACTTTTTTCAGCAGCCATTTCAGTCTGCTGATTCACTTATTTAATCTCAAAATTGCAGTTTTCTTGTTTTTACCTTATTAAACTATGAAGTCTGGTCTCTCACACTCAATTTCTGTAAATGCCTTTTTAATTAATTTTCTAGATTAAGACATAATTTACATGCCATAAAATTTACCATTTTAAAGTGCACAATTCAGTGATATTTAGTTTATTCCTAAGATTGTGCAACTAACACCACTACCTAATTCCAGAACATTTTCATCATCCCAAAAAGAAACCCTGTTTCCATTAGCAGTCATTTCCCATTGCCTCCATCCTTATTCTCTGCCAACCACTAATCTACTTCCTGTCTCTATGGATTTGCCTATTCTAGACGTTTCATATAAGCAGAATCATGTAATATGTGGCATTTTGTGTCTGTCTTCTTTTTCTTGGGAGAATGCTTTCAAGGTTCATCCATATTGTAGCATGTATCAGCACTTCATTCCTTTTAATGGCTAAATAATATTCCATTGTGTGGATATATTATATTTTATTTATCCATTCATTAATTGGTGAACAATTAGGTTGTTTCCATTTTTCAGTTACTACAAATAATGTTGCTATAAACATTTATGTACAAGTTTTTATATGAAGATATGTTTTCATTTCTCATGGGTATACACCTGGGGGTAGAATTGCTGGGTCATTGGACAACTCTATGTTTAACTTCTTCAGGAACCATCAAACTGTTTTCCACAGCAACTGCACCATTTTACATTCCTACCAGCAATGTATAAAGGTTCTGATTTCTCCACATCGTAAATGATTTTTTTTTACAATCGAAATAGAGGACTTCAAGCTTAACGTTACTAAATTTCCTTTTATTGCTTACAGGTACTTTTTGAGTAGTTTGAGATGATTTTGAACTCTGGTTCTCCCAATCTTGTGTTTTTATCCAATTTATTGATCAACATGTTGTGTAGAAATGTCAGCCTGATTGGAACTAGCTGGGAACCTAACCCATGTTTCTTCTTCACTTCTACTAAGATATCATGAAAAACATCAGACATTTTGCTTATATCAACAAACTCCAGATTTTCCAAATTCTCTTGACCTACCAGATTATAGTTAAAATGTAAATGTAATTCATGGACGGGGAATTTAGGAATCAATAAATGTAATCTCCTTATTTTAGAGAGGAAAAAGCAAAATGAAGTGACTTGCCCAAGGTCACTAGGTCACTAGGTAGTGTCAGAGATAGGACTCGAATCTAGTTCCATTTTTCATCCATTTATGCCTATTGTTCCCTGTAGTGTGTCACTCCGAGCACAGGTGAAGGGAACAATCACTTGACTGTTGACAAGGTACAGTCATTTAATTTGCTGGCAAAGCAAGCATCTCTTTAGTTTTTTCCCCCAACTGTAGCCACAACCTAACTGTGGCATAACATTTCTAGCGAACCTATTCTGGTCCCTTTTAATTACCTCTTTTTTAAAAAAATAAAAAAAGTATGACATTTTAAATTTTTAAATGCCAATAAACCATCTGTTTAATAATGCATCTTAAACCTAGTTGTGCATGGGAAACATTACTAGTCTGTATTT